ATGTGTTTTTGCTTGTTAGGAGTTGGTCACTTTTAGTTCTTGTCCGCTATTGACGCCACCGGATATTACTAATTCTGGCAGGCATCTCTCTGCCCTTGAGTTCCATTCAGCTCTTCACACTTCTGGTATTAACCCTCTCGAGTTCTTCACTTTGAGTCATTTTATTCTTGTTTGCCGAATGGACGGGTGTGTTGCATACATGGGATAGTTCGATATAGTTTTGATTTTCCCCTATGGAAATTGCATATCAGGGAAAGATGATGTGTGCGATGGTAGAAAGGACATTGTTCTGCTGGATGCAAGGAATTTGTACGAGACAAGAATTGGCAAGTTTGAAACTCCCGGTGTAGAAACTCTGGATCCAAGAATCAGGCAGTATAGTGATCTTCCCTCATGGGTCGATGATCATTCTGAGCAGTTGAGAGGCAAGAATGTTCTCATGTAAGCCATCATTTTGAGAGCTTGTTCTTTTATTTGTTGTTGCAGTATCATTCTATGGTGGGTTTACACGCATTTATAATTTCACTGTGGGGCTTTTGCTTTGAAGGTATTGCACTGGGGGAATAAGATGTGAGATGGCATCAGCATATATTAAGTCAAAAGGTGCTGGATTTGAGAATGTGTTTCAGGTAAGGTTCTTGAGATGAGGAGAGCTTGTTAAATGCTTGCCAATTGGCACAAAAGGCAACATCGTTATATATTGATATTGAATGGCGATAGTGCTCTGTAAAATTGATATGTTTGCAGTTATTCGGTGGTATACAGCGGTATTTGGAACAATTCCCTGATGGTGGCTATTTCAAAGGGAAGAATTTTGTTTTTGATCACCGGTAGGTTTGGATAGCGTTCCTGTTAATATTGACTTGAGTAGTAGTACCCTTTCCCCTCTTACCTAGCATCGAGGATTTGTTAGTAACACCATCAAACAAATGCTTACATGATGCACCTTCTAAGAGTACATTGCATGAAGACCGCATCAGCTGTAATTCTTACTGCTTGAATTTTTTTGCCTCAGAATATCAGTTGCGAGCTCAGACCCCAAGATTTTGGGTGCTTGCCTGTTCTGTAGCTTGTCTTTCGATGATTATTCATCACGTTGCAGATGCTTCCACTGCAGAATGCTTGTGTTGGTGTGTAGTAAATGTCAGGTATGCTCAACCACTACCCTCTCTATTCTGCCAGAACATGTTTATCTTAAGATGAGGTGATTTTATCATGAGTTCTCCATACTACTTTGTGAAATAATTAACTTCATTATGCCACGGTTGCTGCTGACATGAAAGTCTTGGGAGGACGCATGCTCTTTTCTGTGATGTGTGTGTGTGTAGTTCTAGATTATGTGCCACCTTGGCCTGTATTCCTGCTTTTTGGATTTTGCATCCATCAGCTGTCTTTGACACTTTTGTTTGTGAGGATGACCAGACAGATGAGGCCATCTATGTTTGTGAGCTCTGCCAGAGACATGGCAAGAGTGTTGAGTCAATTTCTTCATCAGATTTTGGCAAACCCAAAGAATTGACAACAGAACATGAGCGTGTTTATTGTTCCTCCGATGCTGGTCATGGTAAGGTCCGTATGTCTCACTGAGTCTATTTATCTGCTTCATTTTGAGTAAGAGATTATCTGCTGTTTAAATGCTATGCTGTAACCTTATTTTCCGTTTGCATAACACAGATGTCGGCGCTCCAAGAAAGCTAAGAATCTTATGCTTGCATGGGTTTCGGCAGAATGCTTCCAGTTTTAAAGGAAGAACCGCCTCTTTAGCCAAGAAACTGAAAAAAATTGCAGAGCTCGTCTTTGTTGATGCACCTCATGAGTTACCTTACATCTACTGCCCTGTTCAAGATCATGCGAAAGAATCTTCTTCCCCTTCATTGCAACCACCACCTCCACCAGATAACTGCAGGAGGAAGTTTGCCTGGTTTATAGCACCAGATGGGACGGGAAGCAGTGAAACCCATTGGCAAGCGGCAGATGCTCAGTTCGATCCGCTTCAATACCAACAGCAAACCGAAGGATTTGATGCTTCAGTGGAACACTTAAGGTCCATCTTTGCACTTGACGGACCATTCGACGGGATCCTGGGATTCTCACAAGGGGCAGCAATGGCTGCATCTATTTGTTCGTTAGAACCAAATCTGAAGGGTGAAATCAATTTCAGGTTTGCAATTTTATGCTCTGGGTTTGCCGTCACACCACTTGGCAAGAAGATTGAAAACGGGTCGATTAAAATCCCTTCGCTGCATATATTCGGAAGTGTTGTGGGCAAGGATAGGCAGATTGACAATGAAGCTAGCAGATACCTCGCTTCCCTATTTGAGGATGGCTGCTCTGTTGTGATTGAGCATGGCTGCGGCCATATCATTCCTACTCGCCATCCTTATATTGATGATATCAAATCTTTTCTGCATCGATTTATTTGATGCTTTTGTTGGTTGGATAGGGTGTCATGAGATTTGGCTGCTTGTATTGTATCTCGTTGAACTAAGTGCTAGCTACTATATGATTTTCAGTTTACTTAACTCAGTACCGAGTACTTTACTTCTGCTCTCTTGGTCTCTTTTACCCCATGCTCTCATTTTTCTTTGTTCACAGGGTCCATTTTATGAATATAAAAAGAAAGCGGATTTGTTTGAAAATATACCAAACGTACTAAAAAAAAAAAAATCTCACTATACAGCACATACTGTGCATACACTAACATTTCCTAAAATACACAATTTTGTGCTGGATATTGCTGTAGTGTCCGCCAATTTTACCCAAACTGCTGTCAACAGATGCAATGTAGCTAAATCACTGCAGACACCAGCGATCTAGCTTCAAAATTGCTGGGGGCTCGCCTTAAATACGCGAAAACTTCCAACGCTGCAATTTTGCGCTTGTTTATCAGTTCTACACCAAACAGCTCCATTTAGCAGGTCATAGCTGTTTTGCTTCAGATATAAATGGTGCTGTTATGCTGCAGGTTATTGGGTGTTACAAGTATTCTACCAACGATGTCCTTGATATTAGTTCTAGCTCTTCCCAATCATTGGATATGTCGAACTTCTTCAATTGCGACGGATTGCTTTGACATCATAGACATGTTTACTTATGAAGGAAGTTAATTTGTTTTTGTCACACACTTGTGCCTTTTTGCAGCTGATGAAAGAAGGGTTAGTTACACCTTGTACAAGTGGCGATGAGTAATTTCAAGAAGGAAGGAGCTTTTGGCGCTGCAAGTTGATGTGAGACTCTGCACCAATTGTTCATTTGTTTGTCAGGTACTTCCACCTTGCTATAGTTTCCATGCTGGAGTCGAAATCCCTTGCTAGTCTTTCTAATGCTTATTATCTTCTCAATTGTTGGTTAGGCTCTCTTGCAAACAATGCTACATTCCAAGAGTTACCCATACGAGAGTATGTTGGCTGCAAAAGTTGAATACAAAAGCAGAATGAGAGGTGCCCAAAGGATGGCGTAAGTGTTTCCTTATGAAGTTTCTTGACTGAGATTCTTGTAACCTGATTTCATCTCTGATTTATATGGTTAAGAAGTGGCCAATCGAAATTCTAATATAGTTAGTCGACAATCATGTGTCTTTCTGTTTGCAATTCTGATTACTAGTAATCTCATGTTTTCAAGTTCTGAATCTTAGGTTTCTTCCTCTAGTCCTCTATGTCATCTTCTCAATGGCTAATCTACCAGTTACTAATGAGCTTCGTCCTGTGCTTCTGCTCGCCAACATTGAAAGCCATCAATTTAGCGGTAGTGTTATCTGCGATATGCTGTAGTGTGTGTTCAAATTGATGGCGGAAGTGTGTGTTCCAGGAAGAACTTTATGATCTTATTCTTCGAACAAACAAAGAATTCATAGAGCTTTGCAGACCTGGAACAAGCATTCGACAGATCCATAATGATTCAATTTTTTTCCGTCAGAGTCAATGTTTACATTTTACCAGATGCAATTGTTTTGGTCCTAGACTGTTTATGAAGTGACCCTCAATCCACCATGGTTTACTCCAAAAATAGGTCTCAATGATGCGTAAAGGACTTGCAGAGATGGGAATTCTGAAACACAGTGGAAGCAATTCCTACCATCGGCTGAATCCAAAATCTATAGGTTCGTCTGAATTTGTTCTGATCGTTAATGAAGCTGTTGTTATATATTGTTTATGTTAGCTACTAGTGGCTTGAAGTAGTATGCTGATACATTAGTAAGAAGTAACTATTTCTTCTTCTAATAAAAAAACCTGTAGTTTTAATGGGGATTGACGGCCTTCTTTTTGTTTTTTAGGACGGCATTCTTATTGTATATTTGTATTGTATTAACTTGTCAATATGATATGTGTAAACCAGTAGAATTTAAATAATAAAAATTACAGAATAACGACGAGATAATCAGACACTCTTTTACAAAATAATCTCTGGAAAGTAGAGTTCATGCAAAAGGAAAAAAGAAAATTAGAAACAAACAATAACCGTGGATTTCTATATAAAAAAATTTACTCCAATGACGGTTTCTGTCACCCGCAGCAATTTTATGGTCTTTGTCATGTTTCAAAAAAAAAAAAAAATGGTATTTGTCTAGTGGTTATGAAAGGAAAATAACCCGCCAGGGACTAATGGAAAGCAGAAGCTTCACGTTTGGGGATAATTTGTCTATTGGCAACATTTTCACCTAACAATCAATGATATTTAATTCATGAAAGAACTGGTTCTGAGGTCTTAAGTTCCCTTGAAAGGAAGGTCTTAGGCACACAGCAACCATAAAATTGGCCAATCAACAAACTAGAACGTAGTCTGTAGCTGCTTAATTTGTAAAATTGAACCATAAAAAGAAACATCAACTTGTGCTCAGTTCTGGTGTTCTTTTTTTTTTTTTGTTTTTGTTTTGGAATTTCAATGCTTGATCTGCCTTCTAAGGTTTCCAAATGAATACCCTTACAAGAATCTAGCTAAAGGATTTAAGTAAAAGTTTTGTGGGCACTCTGATCTTGTTTATTCCTTTTGGGAAGGGCCAACGAGCATTGGAAATAAGTATAAATAAAAAGTGTTTCACTATTGACTACCAAGCCATTGCCAATTCCTCCTACTATGAAGAAGATATACACCTCTGTTCACCATCTCACTTTCTTACTTCTGCTTCAAGTCTTGATTACCCATGCATCTCGTTCTTCTGCTTCTGCTGCTGCAGGTAATGAACAAAAGGTCTGTTGCTTCTTCAGCTTGCTCCTTTTGTTTTCTACTAGCATCGGTTATATTTTAATGCTCGAGGTGATCAATGATTGTTGGTTTTCCTCTGCAATGGTGATAAACAGGATTTCCACATTGTTTATCTAGGAGATCCACCTGAGGGTGTCTCGGCAGTTGAACACCATATGCATGTCTTGTCCTCTGTCAAGAGGTGAGGAAATATAGAGTGGAAAAGGAAAGCTTTAGTTTCATTGGACTTAAGTCGCTTAACCGTGGGTTTTTTTTAATGTGGGAAATAGCAATGATGAAGCTGTGGATGACATGGTGTATAGTTACGCCAAGAGCTTCAGTGCATTTGCAGCTAAACTGTCTCCAAGTGAAGCCCAAAGGCTATCAAGTAACTAGCCTCATCGACATAACGTTATGTTTTGTTCATCGCTACGTATTCGTTTCCAAGTTGCTGGCTTCGTTAGTTGCTAATGCTGTCAAATGGGGTGATTCTGGTGGTGGTCAGGACATGAGAAAGTCCTTGGCGTGTTCCCAAACCGTTATCACAAGCTGGACACGACAAAATCATGGGATTTCCTTGGACTTCCCAAGACGGCAAAGAGAAACCTTAAAACAGAGAGGAACATAGTCGTTGGTCTTCTGGATACAGGTATCACTCCACAATCTAGCAGCTTCAACGATCATGGCTTTGGCCCTCCACCTAAGAAATGGAAAGGCGGCACTTGTTCTCGCCACGCCAACTTCTCCGGATGCAACAAGTAATTACACAACTCTGTTTTTATCCATCCCATTTGTGCTTTGTTGCATGTCCAAATAATTAATAGTCTTATTAACGCGGGAACTGTTAAAAGCAAGATAATAGGAGCCAAGTACTTCAAGCTAGACGGGAACCCAGACCCAAGCGACATCTTATCTCCAATCGATGTGGACGGCCATGGGACCCACACATCTTCGACCCTAGCCGGGAACTGGTCCCTCAAGCCAGCCTGTTTGGGCTAGCCAGAGGGTCAGCTCGTGGAGCAGTGCCCGGAGCCAGGATTGCCATGTACAAGGTCTGCTGGGTCAGTTACGGTTTGTTCCGATATGGACTTGCTTGCTGCATTCGAAGCTGCGATACACGATGGCGTTGATATCATATCGATCTCTATCGGTGGTGTGAATGCGGAATATACATCTGATGCATTAGCCATCGGTGCATTCCATGCGACCAAGAATGGTATTTTAACTGTGGCATCTGCTGGGAATGATGGGCCTAACCCAGCTTCTGTGAGGAACCATGCGCCGTGGATCTTGACTGTGGCAGCTAGTGGGATTGATAGGACGTTTCAGAGCAAAGTACAACTTGGAAATGGCAAGATTTTCTCGGTAAGTTCTGTGTGCATGTTTGTTTTAGTTTAGCTTGAAAATGGTGAAATTTCAGTAAAAAATAATAAATTTTGAGTCTATGAAAGGTTCTCTAAAGAAGTAGGGAGATGCTGTTTAGCAATAAAAAAACTAAATATGGTTGTGGTTTGTTGTTGAAGGGAACTGGTGTGAGTCTCTTCCAGCCAAAGGAGAAGCTTTACCCTCTGGTTAGCGGATTTGATGCGGCCATTGATGAAGATAACAAGGAGACTGCAAGGTATCTTTTATTATCAAACTAATCATACAGTTAATAAGCACTTTGGCGACGAGACATAACGATCACAAACAACACTAAATAATGCTGGGTAAAACAATTGCAGATTCTGCTATGATGGATCGATGGATGCAAAGAAGGTGAAGGGAAAGCTAGTTTACTGCAAGCTAGGGCAGTGGGGTAGGGATTCTGTCGTGAAAAGTTTGGGAGGTGTAGGGACAATAGTTGAGAGTGAGCAATATCTCGACATTGCCCAAATTTTCATGGCACCAGCCACAATGGTAAATTCATCAGTCGGAGACAGCATTGACAGTTACATTCATTCCACAAGGTGTGTTTGTTGTTACTGCCCCTGATTAGTCACAACACAAAGCCTCCTCGATTTCAATTCATAACCACTACGTCTGCGTTGCATGGCATTGACAACAGATCACCAGGAGCTGTGATATACCATACACAAGAAGGGAAAGTGGATGCTCCATTTGTAGCCTCGTTTTCATCCAGAGGTCCGAATCCAGGGTCGACTCGCATTCTCAAGGTATGTATGTACGTACGTATACCTACTGCATCAAGGAATCATCTACATGCCTACATGTGATTTGCTAATAGTTCTTTTGTTGTACGGGGCTGGCTGTAACAAAAATTGCTAAAATGTTGGAAGCCTGACATAGCAGCACCTGGAATCGACATCTTAGCGGCGTACACTCGATTGAGGACACTGACCGGATTAGACGGGGACACCCAGCGCTCTGACTTCACGCTCATGTCCGGAACTTCCATGGCTTGCCCACACGTTGCTGGAGCCGCCGCATATGTCAAATCCTTCCACCCCAACTGGACTGCCGCAGCCATCAAATCTGCCATCCTCACTACAGGTAAGGTACAGAACAAAATGAATGATACTAGGTAAAAAAATGTATGTCCTCTCTTCCAATCTTCTTCCCCCTAACTATTTCTTGATTCCAATTTTCTTGTACCGAAGCTAAACAAATGAGCCGAAGGGTGAACAACGACGCAGAGTTCGCATACGGGGCAGGACAACTGAATCCTGTCAGGGCTCGAAGCCCGGGTTGGTGTACGACATGGACGAGATGGCATACGTCCAAGTCCTCTGCCACGAAGGCTACAAAGGCTCGTCCCTATCGGTCCTAGTTGGCTCGAAATCCATAAACTGCTCCACCATCATTCCCGGGCTTGGCTACGATGCGTTGAACTATCCGACCATCCAAATGCGAGTGAAGAGCCAGCAGAAACCAACGGTGGCGACTTTCCAGAGGATGGTGACCAACGTTGGGCGCGGGCCCTATCCGGTGGTTTACAATGCCACCATTGAAGCTCCCAAAGGTATGGAGATCACTGTGAAGCCCATGACTCTGTCTTTCTCGCGCCTCAACGAGGAGAGGAGCTTCAAGGTTGTGGTGAAGGCAGAGCCCATTGCCGGGTATTCTGGGATTCTGTCCGGAGAGCTTGTGTGGAGAAGCCCTGGGCATAGCGTTAGAAGCCCTGTCGTGGTTTACAAGCAACAGGACTAATTCGATTCCTTTATTTTTTTGTAAAAATGTTTGTATATTGTGTTCATCGGTCGCTTGTTTTGTGATCGTTCAGTCTATTGCTCGATCAAGTTTCGATTATTATTTATATAAATAATTGATCTTTATATTGTTTCTAATGTACTCTTTGAAAATGTTTGTTGTTTCATGTATCCGAATTTATTCGGATTTTATGAGACATCGATATGTTATTGGATAACTTCTTACCTAAGTCAATAAGTTTTTATTTGTTGATGTAAGCTTGTTTCCTTGGTTAGTGTGTCCTTCCATGGCAGGCAGAAGATTTGCAGCAAAAGAACAGCAGCCAGCCATTGAAGCATCAATGGGTTGAGCTTTCTGTCTCTGTCTCTCACGTCCTTCATTTCTTGTGATATAATATAATGAAAGCTTCCATCTTTTTAACTTGACGACCCATTCTTACGTCTTGGTCTATAGTCTGGATAGCTGAATTCACTTTTGTGTCGAGAATTTATTTTAGGGGTTGGATTGAACGCTCCTTGTTGAAAGTTGAGAAAATGAGTAAATGCTACGATGTGGTGGCTGGCTAGCGTTGACAAGTTTGGAACAGGGACCATGGAGACATATCATATCATATTTATACTAAATAAATTAATGTATTGTCCTATTGGTAGAGTAGGGGTTGAGTGCATAAATGATCGAACGATGATATTTTTTTAATAAATTCGTCACTAAAGTTTGGATCAGTGATGCTTTTGTCGAAGATTAGTGTGTCAAACTGTCAGTCCACTCTTTTCAGGATTGAAAAAGAAGCCATTTTTCCCGAATGACTTGTAGCAACTCATACTTTTACTAAGGTAGCTCGATCAAAATCGAACCTATACTAGTCGTGATCACGTTGACTCCCTTCCTCTCCCTAGCTAATATCGATTGCGTTAATATCACTACATACTTGCACATCAAGGAGATTGGAGTGGACCATCTCTATAGCACCAGCGGGGTGTGATGATGGAGTAGCAGGAGATATAGCATATCCCAAGGATGTTATGCAGAGGCAGGAGGAGAAGCCTAGCTGGTAGTGTTGTTGGTTCGGCACACGCATGTCGTATGTTCGATCCATGTTATTAACCCTCTTATGTATAATATTTCGCACACACATGATCGTATATTCAATCCATGTCATCAATTAGTTCGTGTATAAAACTAGTGTGTCGTTTATCGAATTGAATCACACCGAAAGGACAATACAAGGACATGAATTGAATTGACGTATCAAGAAGAGGGCAGTTAGTAGTTTGCTTCATATCATTTACTACCCCTACCCTTGGCCATAACTGTTTGGCATCTATCTTTTTTCTTCTCTGTTGGCAACTTGGCATCCCTTTTGCAACAATTGGCAAAAAGGAATGTACTTTTTCTTAAGGGTTTCCCAAATGTTGCAATGAGTATAGCTTGAAAGAACATGGCACAAGAAAGGAAGGCAAGGAAGTGACAAGATATCATGAAGAAAGCTTTTCCCATTGGGTGCCACTTGGCCCCTCATTTTGGCTTTGCTTAAGTACTTGCATAGTTGCACATTGTCCCGATTTAGTTAGTTTGACACGATACTTCAACTAATCTTAAAACCATTTATGTCCTAAAGTTTGGGATTAGCAAGTTTCGTGGGTTTGTGATAGTTTGATTAATTATTTATAATTTGAGTTGAAATTGGTATCAAAGATATTAATGGTGATTCGGGATGAAATCAATTTAAGAATTGATTTTGTACGATATCTCAAGTTAGTGAAACATATTAATTTTTATATAAGTTATTAAATTTTTTGTGTCGGAAAATGTTTGTGAGATTTTTTTTTTTATAAATAGATGTAGAGCATCTCAATCTTCATTCAAAATTAAACGGAGTTCTGAGAGCCCCTGACAATCATACAAAATCAAATACCGCAATACAAGATCAGAAATAGTAACTGGGTGAAAACCCAGATGCAAGGAGTGCCCTCGGCTGGCTAAAAAATCAGCACACTTATTATATAATTTATTTAAGTTTATACACATTAGAAACAATATTTGCATGAACTTTAGTATTGCGGACATTTTTGACAACGTATAAGAAAAAAATAGTGTAAATATTGTTTGAACTATCTGTGGGAATTTATTAGGATAATTAAGTTGATTCTCAACATTTTTTTGCATGAAAGCAAAGACCTTTCATTCCATCCTAAAGAGGCTACATAAGTTTCTACAAGAATACTAGCACAAGATCAATGATCTTAATCCAATCATAAAGATGAGAGTCAATTTGAATTTACCCGATTACTCAAATCAACCCGTCGGTTCTTGATATCTAATTGATATTTTATTTGGATTAATTTTATGAGGTCAAATTTGAAGAGGGAGATCTTTTCAAACAAAACGATGTCCTCCTAAACTTGTACTTAACTTATAGGTTTGTACTATTCATTGATCACACTTTTCCTTTCCTTCATATGTAATTACTTAAATTTGCACATTTCCTTATAGTTAAAGCCAAACAAACACCCCATACTAACTTAAATGCTAAGCATGGGTCTTACCAAAAAAAAAAAAAAATGCTAAGCATGGCAATACATCCTCCATGGAATGGGGATGAAAGCAAGGAAAATGAAAATTGGGTGAAGAACTGAACTAAGGGTGAGGGTTAGCTATTATTGCATTTTTTTGGTTGGGTCTCATAGTATCCTTCTTATGTCAATTAGACAGTTACATAAATGGTCACTCAGCTTTAGGGTCACTAAAGTTTGATACTTACAAACTCGTTAATGGAGTTTATGTTAGCTGTTATTTTACTTTTTGCGCTAATTATTGAAATTAGACCGCAAACTCAACCAAATAAAGTGACATAAACATATATGTAGGTTTCTAATTAGTCGGGAGAGATGATTTGCTTCAACTCACATTCGTCCTAAACCAAACTCGAAACTTAACCCAGTTTCAATCCAAAAACTTAGCCTAATTGTAATGTGGATACGAATCATACGATAAGATTCAACACAATCTATATTCAAACTTTACGAGTTGCGACAATCATCCTCATAAAAAAATATCACTCTTCTTTAACCCCATAATTCCTAGCTAGTTACATATAATACAAAACCCTCCTCGTTACCAAATTTGGCGAATCATCAGACTGCGATAAATGAAGTAATCTATCTCAATCTTAAATGATCCTAAAATTAAGATATTGAAGCTTAGGGATTGATTTGGCAGTGATACGAAATTTTAGTGACCATTTTAGGCAATTACCCTATTTCCCACCTCCATCACCATAAGTTCATAACAGAAACAGATAGGTGAAATTTGGGCAACTGTCCCCATCCATCCACCGCCTCTTAATATTTGCCATAAATGCTTCATAACTGTCACATAAATATGAGGCAGGCAAGGCAAAACCCTTTCCCCTTCCTTCCATCAATTACCATTCACCTACCCATTCTGCCCATTCCTTCACCATTTCCCCTTTGCTTGCCACAATAATATGTGACCCATGAGATCAAAAGATGGCTACATTATAGTAATGTAACCTTGATTGGGTTTGAGTTTTCTGCAACTTTTGGTTAGTCGTTTTCTTACTACCCTTTTTGCCTTCATCATATTAACAGAAGATATGATTTTCGGATCAAAATAAGGACCGATAAAATCATAAACGAGGAAGATCTAAGTATCATGATCGGAGAACTGAGCGATATTATACACCATATTTCACGCCATTCACAAATAGTGGCAGACCCACGTAGATGACATGGAAATTATAGCTCCCACTCAACTCTCAAAATCACGTAAAATCATATGTAATTTTTTTTAGAAAATATAATAATTCATACCCATCGATTCATATTTTCTGTTTTAGTCTTCAAATTTCTAGTTTCGCCACGGAACAAAAATGTAGCTAAACTAACTTCACTCCAACACCATAATCAACTCCTTTTCTCTTGTCTGTCCTCTCCCCTCCTACTCATCTTGGACTTTCAACAACAACAAAACAAGCAGTGGCATTTCTGAAATTTGTCCACATCGCCAAGCCCAGATACATAACCCAACTACTATATGAACATGGAGCAGGCCATCCCCTTTTTCCCCCACAACGACACAGCTCTCCAAAAAAAAAAGAAAACCCTCTCAACTCCCATCATCACATCACAGAAAAGTTGCTCTCTTTTAGCTTCACGAGAAAGAAAAGAGAAGATGTCTCTGGTCACAGAAGAGATCAGGGCCAAGGCCTCGGAGGTCTACAATGGCGACGAGATCTGCCAGGCCAAATCCAAGGAGCTGCTGAGGGAAATCGAGCTCCCCAATGGGCTGCTGCCACTACACAACATCGAGGAGTGTGGGATCGTGAGGGAGACAGGGTTCGTCTGGCTGAAGCAGAAGAAGAGCATCACTCACAAGTTCGACAAAATTGGGAAGCTCGTGAGCTATGCGCCAGAGGTGACTGCTGTGGTGGAGAAGGGGAAGATCAAGAAGCTGACCGGTGTCAAGACCAAGGAGCTTCTGCTTTGGGTAACCCTTTCTGATATCTACACCGACGAGCCGCCTACTGGGAAAATCACGTTCAAGACCCCAACTGGGTTGTACAGGACTTTCCCTACTACTGCTTTTGAGGTTGAGGAACCTGCTGCTAAGGAACCGGCAGCTAAGGAGGGAGCTGCTGCTTCTGCTGCTAAGGAACCGGCGGCGAAGGAGGCTGTTGCAGTGAAGGAAGCATGAAGTTTGTGTCTTTGATTCAGTAGAGAAGCTATAAGAAAGAGCCAAATCTTTCCTGTTTCATGTTGTCGTTTTAGCTTCTTGCTGTTGTTCTTCTTCCCTGTACCTTTACTTGGTTCCACGCTGATAATAAAATTGAAACTGTTCTCCGAAAAGTTTGATTCTTTATCGGTTTCTGGCATCTGGGTTTCAGAGAAATCTGAACTGCAAGAAGAAGCAATGAAAGGGTTACTAGTCTCAAATTTCTAGACCTACTGGGTTTCAATTTCTTAATTTCTCTTGAAAAAGAAGAGAAAGTAGCATGCCCAAAGAAAATCAGAATGGTTCTCCTGTGTCCATTATTTTCGATTTGATTTTAGTTTGATTCAGTTCGGTTCTTTGATTATGAATCGAATCGGATCATGCACAGCCTTGGAAGTATTGCGGGTTGAAATGGATTAAAGACTGAGATTTGGGTGAGCAGAGTTCAATGCAGCTGTTAACTAAACAGTTTGGGATATCGACAACTTCTGCAACATTCTGAATATTATACAATTGGAAGGCACATGTCTTTGCTAGAGTAGTTATATCTCTTCTATCTTAATCTGGTTTGTTAGATAATGAATTGAAGCTGGGTAATAATAACTCTAGAGACCGGTGAGTTCGATATTAATTACTTGTGTCACTATACTGCAGTCCCTTTTATTGGTTACAATTGGCCATTGTTAAGTGTAACTAAAAATGTGGATATCAATTCATAATATTTTTTTCATTTATTTTTTCAAACCAATTATTTTGATCAAATAGCTTCTTACAATACCTCATTCATACGTTCAACTTCAAAATGTGAATAGAGCGCATTCAATCTGCATGTAAAAACTAAAAATTAGAAAAGTGCGTGGATCATGTTATGATCATTAGGTCGGCATGGATTGAGAACTTTGAATATACTAGGACACATTTTGATTTTAACGTAATTATAAATAAATTGTAATCGAATCAAATCAATCGAGTATCCGATTCTGTTAGTATATCCGATTTAGGGGTGGGCATTGGTGCGATTCGGACCGCACCGCACCGTATTGACATAAACCGCACCGCACCGCATATTAGACCGCAATTTAAACGGAACGGTCAAAACAAATCGCTTAGATAAGCGATTTGGTGCGGTTCAAACCGCACCGCATATTTGACCGCAATGTAGAATGAACTATGCATTATTGAATTGAGAAGTTTGAATTCACTTTCTAATGTAATTGTAAGAAAAACTAATATTTAATATCTAGTAATAACTAATTATATATGTATATATATATATCATTCCCGTATGAGTTCAATTATCCTTAATTTACTATTAATTACTTAGCAGCTCAAAGACAAACCATTACCATTACTCCGCCAGCAGAATTAATAGGAACACTTTCACAAACGAAAAAACAAAAATCGGAACACTGCAAAATTCATCGCCCAGCAGAACTTTTCCGGATTTCTACGCATCTCAGTCAAGTAATTGGGCTGCACCACCGTCGCTGTGAAAGCAGAATGATGGGCAGAAGTATTAGCGATGGCGGCAGCGGAGACCAATAACAGTCATTTGCGGTTTGCGGTTTCAAACCGCAACCGCGCGGTTTCGGATAAACCCGACAGCGAACCGCGAGCCGCTAAAAATTCAGACCACTTATTAAACCGCAAGCTTATGGTGCGGTTCGACTCGACCACAAAAGCGGTTTGGTGCGGTTCGGAGCGGTTTGACCGCACCAATGCCCACCCCTAATCCGATTCCAACGAGTGAAAACTAAGACTATACATTCCAATCTAGTCCCCCCAATTTTGGTTCTAATCATGATTAAAATTTTTGATGAATTATAAAACCATGCACTTATTAAAATACTTGCTGCTCAAGTGTGACATAATCAATAAATCAATTTGGTCTCGGTGATATTCCGGTCCAGGTCCTTTTATAACGAGCAATAATTCAACCTCGATCACCCTAGTATTTCATCACTTAACGGACGCCGTTTAACGGCGTTGGACGGCAGCTAACGGAGAGTGACCATAAATGAACGGTGTTTGTAAAGTTAGTGACCAAAAATGGATTTAAATTTTTCCAGTGACCAAACATGAACGTTTTTTTGTAATATTAGTGACCAACCATGCAATTAACCCGTTTAAGTTTACACAGAATTTCCTTTCGATGAATAATTTATGAAAGGAATTTAAAAATAAACGAAAAAAGGGGAGGAGTTTTCTATCTCAAACGAGCGGCCCAACCCAGAAAAGGAGGGAAAATCCCTTTTTCCCCCGCCTTCCCACTTTCCCTTCCGCCTGCCGTCTACATAAACCAAACACACAGAGCGAGCGAAATAGAAACATAGAACACCCCGCCCAATTGAGGGAGATCGGGAATTCAAGCGGCGCTAGAAACTAAACGGCGACGATGTTGTTTCAATGCCTGAGACTCGACTTCGCTTATTCCGCCCTCCCGCGGTGGCCCGGCTTCATGACCGCATCCTACCTAACCCCTCGGTGGGTCCGCCGGGGTGTACAGAACTGGGGGCCGCAGCGGTGGTCGGAGCTCGGCGTCTCGATCGTCGACGAACTCGTCTGGAGCTTGGTCTCTGCGGTGGAGTCCGTCGCCCTCGTCTCCATGCTCTGCTTCTTCTTCCTCTTCTGCGGATGCACGATCTGATTAGGTGGGAAATTTAGGGCTACGTTTGTTTGGAATCGGTTTCGATTTTTCTGTCAGCTTGAATCAAAGGGGAGATTCGGCCGGCAGGAGAGCAGGCGGAGGTAACGATGCTAGCTGCCGGATGCCGGCGAATGATGCGGTGGAGGGGCGGCAGCGTATGTAGGGTAGTACTGTAGTCTGTAGCAGTAGTGCGAGAAGAAAACCAGCGCGTGAAGTGAAGCACGTGGTGGCTTCTCCGCTACCGCTACCATATCTTCTTCTGTTTTTGTTTTGTTTTTGTTTTGTTTTGGTTACGTTTTGAATTTTGATCAACGTGGCTGTGTTGTGTAATGGGATTGGGGCCTGGGCCGGGCCTGGGCAGGCTGGCCCATGTTTTCTATTAGTTTTGGTCTTTTGGATTTGTATAAAAAGTTGTCGATATTGTGGAAGGTTAATTGGTTAAATGGTGAATGTATCACTAATTTCCTCAAATAAATGTTGACCCTAGGCTACCCAACTATGTTAAATGTCGATGACCCAAGTTAGCTCACCTAATAAGCACCTTAACAAGAACACTTAAGTCACTCCTTTTGGGTTGGTTCGAGTAAGATTACAATATGAGGTTAAGTTAGCAACACGTTTTACACTATATCGCCCCACTTTCACAGAGGTTGGCAACAAACTCATTCGTGTTTTCAATTTTGATTATCAACATTGGTGCCTCTAGATAAAAAAGATCATCATCGTAATTTTTTTGAAACATAAGTTCAAAATATTATTTGTATGTTGACTGCAATAGAGATTCCCTCTATAGGGTTTTTTTTTTAATAAGAAGAGAGACCCCTCTCCCCACCAATGGATCATGAGTTCATAGTCATCAAAAGACGGTCGGGTTGTGGATATCATGTAGTTTCCTTAGAATGGATGGAAAATTATGTGCTATGTACTTAACTACTTATCTGCATTGTAGTTAGGGCGGGTAATCGGTCGGTTACGGTTAAATCGATTACTGAGCAACCGGTTAATGGTATACTGAAACTGACAAAACAAATATCGACTACCGATATCTTTTTATAGCCGGTTAATCGGATAGCCAGTTACCAGTTATCAACCGGTAATACCAACTAATCATAGATAGACAACCAATTTCAATTCTGATCTTTGTTTCTGACTGGTGAGGGTTACGCAACGGAAGGGAAAACTTGATAATATTATTGAAAGCAAGCTAGAAAAGTATATATACAGTATTTACACCTAGTAATTCGGCACAACAAACCATCCTCGGTCCCCACGTTCGAAAAAAATCCCAAAGTACACTAGTTCTTAAAAAAAATCCCCAAAATACACAAGTTATAAAAAAATTCCCCAAAGTACACATGTTTCACATTCACCGTTTTTTGACAAATGCAGTGAATACAATCAATCACCGCGTTAGACAAACACGGTGAACATTTCACCGTTTTAAATTAAAACGATGACGTATTCACCGTCTTTGTCTAAACGCGGTGAACAATTCACCGCGTTTAACCAAAACGGTGAAGACATTACCATGTTATTTAAAAACGGTGAATACGTCACCGTTTTTTAGGGCAAGGCGGGGAACATCTTCACCGCTCTAGGTTACGGCGATGATTGTTTCCCACGTTTCCCACACCTGGTAGGTGAAAATTAGGTCACAACCACCTAATGTTCACAGTTTGAGACAAACACGGTGATATTGTTCCCCGTTTGAGACAAAGGCGGTGAATGCTGTTTATTTTCCTATAAATACCACTCCCACCAGCAGTTGTAAAAGCGTAACCCCTCTCCCTCTTCAAATTTCAGCAACCAAAACCGAGCAACATACACAGAATATGAATTTTCGGTATGATTTAATTTTCGTATTGTAGCCTATTGATGTTTTTAGTAGTTATATTGTTATGTTATGAATTACTTATCGTAGCAAATATGTTCTGTTAGTTGGGAAATTTATGTTGTTGTTAGTTAGTTGAATTTATGTTAAGTTAGTTATGAGATGGAGTAATATTAGTCGTACAATATGGTTAATTTTACTGGAATTAAGCTAATATTTACTCATTGTAAATTGTAGACAGGGGCGAACCCACGGGTGTTTGGGGGTGTCACGGGATACCTCTAAATTTTGGGAAAACGATTATCCAACTCCCGATGGTAATTTACGTATTGACAAAAAAATTATAATTGATAGTCGGGGACACCCTTAAATTAAAAAAAGTGATTATCCTACTCTCATATTTTAGTTTGAGTATGAGAATATAAGTGGTAGTTTGGGTAATTCAAATCTAGGATACTTTTATTATCAATAAACATAATTTCCATTAGGCTGCAACTCATATGTTGTTCGATTTTAAATATTATGTAATAGTACAATGTCATTCTCTATATCTAATTATTTTCAAAATCTAACAATTAAACAAATTTCAAGCTACCCTTAATTTGTATTGATTTATGATTGTAAGATAAGTGTTGAAAGAGTCTTTTCAGCTTTGGATTTGACACGCCAAAACACAACACCAAACTACGACCATGTGTAATCGCAGTCCGGGAATGCAGTAACACGCCAAAACACAACACCAAACTACACCAAACTACGACCTGAGATGTGATCGAGGGCACTCTCCTTCCTTACCACGGAACACCACTGAACCGCGCAGCATAGTGATTACTGAGGTGCTCACCTCAAAGTTGTTGGCTGGGACTTGAGGGTGTTGAATGGGTGACCTCATGTCCTCAGCCCTAGCGGTCCAGTAGGATCCCATGGTCTGCTCCTCGGGGATCACAGCACGGTTCTGCGGATCACCCATCTCTCCTCCTTCTTCTTCTTCTCCTAACTGCAGCTGTGTTAGCGCCTCCTCCGCAGCCAGTCGCGCCTTTAGAGCCCGCTTGAAGTTCCTGCAGGTTCGTTCAAGCTCCTGGTCAAGTGGTAGTAGATCTCCCGACTGGCTACGGGTCATGCGCTACCTGCACACAATCAGCAGAAGCAACCCGTGAAGGCACACAGGTGGAAGAAATAAAATGCAGTAAATAAAAGCTAGTGTAACAAATTCTCACGTTTCCCCAATAATCTAGAGGGTTCCCCGGCAACGGCGCCAAAAACTTGACACGCCAAAACACAACACCAAACTGCGACCAAGTGTAATCGCAGTCCGGGAATGCAGTAACAGGCAAGTTTAATTATCAACCCGGGGTCTAGATCTACTGCTTACTCCGTGATTCTCTATTATCTAGCAAACTAGTTCGAGTGATTGTTGTGAAAAGTAAAAGCAACAAGAAAGCAGTAAATTGTTCGGTTTCTAAAGCAGGCAAGAGTCACTCGGGATTGAGTCCCCCGAGCCCCTTAGTTAGGTTCAATTGCAATTCCCTGGGTTGATTTACTGTTGATTAGACTGCGGAAGATCCGACAGTAGCTTGGAATCTCTTAAGCTGACCAAGCCCTCTCAGTCTAACTACCCGGCAGACGACTAGTCTTCACCGGGATAGAAAGCTGAGGCTATGAACACAGAACTCCACTACTAGAATTGAATTCCAGTACAAAGCAGTAAACTGGCTAACTCTCGTATAGCCAATCTCCTACTATCGAATGAAGAGGCTCTAACAACCTAATCAGATTCTATCTATCTCAGGTTGCAGCAGAAATTGAGAAAAGCTGATCCGACTCAAATCAATTCATTAAACATGCGTCATTCGATTAAAATCAAACAGTAATATCATCCCAAGTCATTACAATCAAATCCCTAACACAAGGAACTAGGGTTCTTCATACCCAAGTGAGAGAAGGGTTCTACTCCATAGAGAGAGAAGAGAAAACAAGAATCGGATTAGTCATACTCATAACGATGAGGATAATCTGCTCCGGGACGATGATTTCCACTCCTATGACGATCTCCAAGCTCGATTCGATGAAATCCAGCTCTAAGACAGCTTCTAGGGTGTGTTCTTCGTACTTTCTCTCTCTAGGGCTCTGTTTTTGCTCTCAAAACACCATTCTTCCACTTTTGGCTCGGAATAGGCTCTATAACCAGGATTTCCCGACTCGCACGGCCAGGGTGCACGGCCGTGCATACCACCCACTTGGCCGTGCACTCCAAAACGCGGCGTATCAATTAGTTCGACCTCAGGCTTCTCGCACGGCCAGGGTGCACGGCCGTGCAATCTTCAGGGTCTGCCCGTGCATGGCCTCGGCATAAAGCGCACGGCCATATTGCTCACGTGCACGGCCGTGCGTCTCCCTGGTCTGCCCTTGCAGCTCCCCAAAAACCTCGCCATTCGTCCGTTCTTCGTCCAATCGACCCCATACTCGCTCCTAAGCCTTCATTCACGTACTAGGACCTGAAATATCACAAACAAGCACAACCTAGCGTGAAATCGGCCTAAAACACGCGAATCAACACCTCAAACGGTGTAAGAACGGGGGTAAAAACATGTGTAAATGACGGTCTATCAGGATTACATCAAGAACAAGTTTAGAAATCGAATATGTGATCAGTTCGTGAATGATTGTCTAATATGATATACAAAGAGAATTTTTTTGAACAGTGTAGACTCCAAGTGTGTTCTACAATCATTTTTTAATATGAAAACGCATTGTGAATTTTTTCAAGCTGTATGAGTAAGGTATGTCTTATTTATTAATTATTTTATAATTATTTGTATTTAATTTATTTTTTAAAAGAGGACACCACTATGTAAAATTTCTGGCTCCGCCACTGATTGTAGATATTGGTAAATTAAAGAAGTTTCAGCTTATTATTCGGTGGAATGGAAGGGTGACAAACTCTGACATAGGGATTGATTATGAGGATGGTGAATCCACTACGCTGAAAATTGAGACGCGATTCAATTTTCAAGAACTCTGTGATATTTGTGCAGACAGGGTTTGTACGAGCGGACAAACGAGATTTGGTAAAATTAGTTACCGGTATCCAGACATCAGTGCTAGCGGGGTTGTGTACCAAGAAGTTGTCATAAACGATGATGACGCGGTTACGATGATGTTACAGTTC